GCCACTAAGGTGCCCAGATTTCCTTCCTTTTCCTCTAATATCGTTTTTCGTTCATGTTAATTGGTTTCTCGCATTTGCATAGGTACTGATACATACGGAACATTCCGACAGTGTTCTTTTCCCCTCTTTTTTACTCCAGCCAGTCAACAGACGTATTCATTTTCATGAACTTCCCACTCTTTCAGATATTCAACAAATATGCATATTTCACAAAATAGAACGATATATCAAATGAATAATAAAAAATAAGATATCTGAATACTATCGCTTCTTTTTATCGAGTCACACTTGAAGATTATTATTGGTATACTAACCACAAGACATGAAAAATGGAATAACAGTAAAAAAAATCCATGTATATTATCTTTCATTTTGTTCTATGGAGTTTGGAGTGGAGTTGGTAACATTTGTATTGAAAAAAATATTAATATAGGAGGAAATTTATTTATCATATGCAGGTTCTGATCCTTTAAAGAACCTCTGAGAAGGACCAGTACCTCAGGAAGAAATTCATTGCATTTCTTCTTTTTTAACCCGCAAATCTCGTACCGATTTTTTATTTGTATAGAGCTCGTGGAGAGTTCTAGGTATGTCGGAGACAATTTTTAAGAAACGGGACTTGCGAAATATTTAATGCACAAAACGCATACCTTAAACTTTATCGCACAGTATAACACTGATCAAATTAGCTTCAGAGATTATCAGAGGGTTAATTTCTTGTCAAAATATCAACAAATCAGTCAAAATCAGTAATCGGTTATCAGTTGCAAAATTACGGAGATTGAGGGAAATCGTGTGATGCGAGATTTTATTGATGACATAAGAGCAGGATATGTTCCCAGTAGGAGCGACTTCATATCACTCAAACATACCGTCTTTGCAGATTAGCGGATATTGGCGGCTAATTATTACTTAATAATATTCCTTATACTTATACAAGAAGCAGTCCAACAAAGGTTTTTGGGGGGTCTTTTGTCCCCGTCAAGCTTTCTCAAGATTCTTTTGGCGTTTCTTGGAGCAAGTTTTGAATGTGGTTTTGGTCCTCTTAAAAAAATGCCTATACGTAGCGATGATGTACCAAAATGTTCCTTCAAGAGAAGAGAATAAGCATGCTTGTTTTTTACTCATTTTTTTTTACAAAATTAGGTTCCTTGTCTTGAAAGTCTGGCTAGAAGCCGTCTCCCGGGAACTTAAAGGTTGATAAGCATATTTAGATACCATCCTGGTACAAACACTCTAAAATCATTTTGCAGGTCATCGTGGTATACAAATGATGTGTGACTTTTAGCCCCCCCCCCCTTCCCGAGACAACTGTACGTCAGATTTTATTCCGTTCAACTGATGACTGATACAGTTATCATGGATGCTTTAATACTTGAGCTTGACAAATCCATACACCAAAACGATCCAGAACTCCAGCACCTAGCCCCTTCTCCTTCCATTGCCGTCCGCTCGCTTGCATACATACATATATTACCTGCAAAAGTTAAGCCTTTTTTAAGGCTTCATAGGTAGTAAGATATATTCATAATATTTTTAAAACTGCGCATCGTTGAGATTAAACAAAGACAAGCGGTTGTTGCGTCGGTAACACCGTACCGCGCCGCCGCGCGCGTCCCGGGCAGGCAGCGCAGCGCGCGGATCTGCCTCAGAACGGCCGGCTTCCCGTCCCCCGATGGTTTTTCCCGTTTTCACGCCTAAAATATCGATCCCACGGAAAAATTCATAAGAAGCAGTTTTGTTCCTGATAAAATTTCCCATCGTTCTGTTGTAAAAAAATTACGCTAACATTCGCCGTTCCGTAGTTATTCAAAATTCAAAATTTGGGGGCCCCCTGCCCCCCCAGGGGGCTCAGATTTTTGGGGTCTATGTCTAAATCGGATGTCTATAGGGTAGAGATGAATCCCTGAAATTTTCATGCTTTCTTCCAGAAGTGCACGATTGTTACGCTTATCGGCCCCACTAAAAGCAGGGAAATCAATTTCAACAAATCAACCAATTCAAAGTTAACCAATTCAAAATCACCTAAATCAAATACTC